CCCCAAAACCCCAAAACCCCAAAACCCCAAAACCCCAAGAGAGTTATAAAATATGGAAATAACACTATTATTAATATAAAATGGGTGACGGAGGAGATGCTATTTTTGAGATACTTATCGAACTCCTGTTCTTCGGAGTTAGAGAATCATATCAGTATAGGTAAGCGCTTGTATGACCAGTTTGTAGATGAGGCATATCCAGTATCCTACCTTTACTAATTTGGACTTCTGTGGTAGTCAACTTGATAGCCCTATGAGCACCCAAGATTTTGATAAAAATATGATGATTCGCTATTAATCGTAAGTATTTTATCCTAGCATGTTCTAGGGGTTCGAGGATTTTAGTATGAATACTTCCAAAATACTTCTCCTTTTCGAAATGTAGGAAATTATAGATCCATGGGAAACTGTTTAGATAAAGACTGTTGGTCGCTTGATGCTCTAATGCATCCTCTTGCTAGATCTAACCCTTCTAACCTTAAACCAGTCCATTCTCAAATAATTAGCAGTAACAGCTCATTAGATTTGTTACAAGAAAGCTAAATTTATCAACTCAACTTGTATAGGCATCTTGGGAAGAAAAGAATACAAAAATCAAAGGTAAGATCTTGACAACTTTTCTTATCATTTAGAGCTCCTTTAAACGATAGTCCAGCAATGGTATTGAGTAATGAGGTTGATATAGAAGGTGGAGTCTCTGATGAGAATAACCATTCTGTCCCAGCATACACAATAACTTCAGAAAATCCTCCTCCTATCGAGATCCTTAACGAATACAGACCAATCAATGAAGAACCTTCTGAAATACCCTCTAAGCCGCCTCTTTTCAGCATAAACGACTGTGAAAGCGAGATAAATTCTGGCGAAAATACTCAAAAAAAGCCTCTATTAAGCAATGAATAACCAATTTTACCCGTAATATCGAGTCAATTCGGGCTCACAGCATAGCTCGGTTTGGAATAGTCCATAACCTCAGGCTCTTACTGAGAGTTCAGGCCTCTCTATTTTGGGGGCTAAAACCTAGCTAAAGGCTCATTCTGTCTAATACAGCTCTATAAGCATCCAAAGGTTTGCTAATATCTGGAATTTATGACACCTTTATCTTCTGAGCAGCATGGGCTGAGATTCATTAGTCCATGACCTATCGAGGCAATAGATTATCTAGGCTAGGGAAATAAACGTATAGCTGCTTAACAGTGAAAAGTCTGGCCTTGTTTTGACTAGAATATTGACCCTTGAGTTAAAGTACTGCATATCGAAATAATACATATAAACAGTGTTTAGATATTGATGAAATCTCGTTTATAGTCATTATGAAATGTTATGGCCCTTCAGCTCGTAGTTCTGCAGAGACCAAACATATCTTTAGCATGCTAGATAAGTAGGCTGAAGCATGAGACTCAATGAGAGGACACCCAAATAGCTTTAAAGACCGTTCAATAGTTTGTTAAAGCTTGTTATTGGTGTAATTGATTGTTCACTTCGTATTCATTTCAAAGACTATTTATGATTCATCAAGTAGTGCTGTTGGCTGATGGTTGTATCAATTTGGTAAGAAATAACTAATATCATGCCCTCTGGCTTTATCTAAATCGATAGGTTTTACTTATGTGCTTCCTAATTCCGTTCAGAACCTAGATTGGCTTGGAGCCCAGTCTGGGACTCTTAATGGTAAAGCTGAGACAAACTGTGATTCAGCGGATGGAGATTTGGGGTCTGGATAGAGATTGGAGTAAGCAAAAATAGATTTGTGAGATGGGTGTATTGGTGTGCTTATTAGTAAATGAAGCATAAAACAAGTGTTTACTTAATTTTTCATAATTAATGAAATTTATTAAATATAATACTAAATTGTCAGACTGTTTTATAATTTATGACTAGTTTGGGGTTTTGGGGTTTTGGGGTTTTGGGG